GGCGGCGTCCTCTGGTCTAACGCTGTTAGTGAGACTAGGCTCTAAAGAAAGCTGCCTCTGGTGTGGACCAATCAGTGAACATGCACATACAAAAGTATGTGCATGTTCACCACAAGTATATGTGGTTAATGCAGACATGATTCGTTGCAAAAGTTTTCAGTTTGGTATTTTGACATCTTAACACAACTTTCTTTAAGAGCTCTTTCGGTCATTTTTTCTGACCACAGCACGCTGAGACTCGAGGCTAATTTTATTTTTCACCTACGTGACTTTACCGAAAGAACCAAAGAGTATGGATCATTGCAGTCACGAAAACTTCAAATCTAGAATTGGAATTGTCCTCTTTTGTGTGATTCGCGTTGTCCCTCGCCCGCCCGCACCTCCGTTGAGCAAGGGTTGGCTTGCTTACGGTTGCGAAAGAAGTTCACCGTGCAAAAGTCAACACGTGCCATTCATAAATTAAAAAAAAATCAAACACGTTCATATTTGCTGCTGCTGCTGCTGTTGCGGTTTCATTGGCTGTCGTGCACAGGCGGCGACTGACAATGAAGATTTATAATCGCGTGTGTGTGTGCGCGAGTGTGTGCCCTTAAAAATAGATATTTAATCGGCGACATTTCGTGAAATGTCCTTAGTTCATAGCGCGTGTATTGACGAATGCGCTATGAAGAAGGACCAGTGGCAAAAAAAAAAATAGGTCCATAGTTTTTATTTTATATCTTGCGCCTTTTTTTACGGCAGTGTTATGGAGATGGTGTCGAAGTTATTCATAAAATAGAAGGATTTCTTCGGCGCTATCGTTCGTATGCATTGGCAGACCGCACTATAATCTGAGGTGCGGAGCGGGAAGGATAACACACTGAACACAAGACGACGTTCTAGCGCAGGGCTCTGATGAAGGAAGACGCCGAGGTAATCACAGACAGCCTGCGGCATCGCAGGACGTGGCGGTGTTGCGCCCTGTGGTGTTAGTCTGCTTCTGATTCTGTGACTCATCTCAAAGCCACATCAAACCACAAGACGACGTTCTAGCGCAGGGCTCTGATGAAGGAAGACGCCGAGGTAATCACAGACAGCCTGCGGCATCGCAGGACGAGGCGGTGTTGCGCCCTGTGGTGTTAGTCTGCTTCTGAATCTGTGACTCATCTCGATCCACCACCGCGTCTTCAACCCTCGGTCTGCCTCTACTCCTTTCCGAACCCGACACGGGGGGAGCATCCCCACGGGCCCTTCTCAGACCATAACGTCGAAACAATCATCTATACGGTACGACAATAGCGTAACACAACGCCGTACGTTGCGAGTGAAGGGGCCCTAGATTTTCACGCGAAAGAGACAGCCTGAAAGCCCGGATAATATTCTTGCCCGCGTGAACTACACTATTAATGGGGTTACAGGTAAAGGGACGAATAATCCTTTCAACTTGTAAGGCACAACGGTGCTCGCTCGCTCTCTCTCTCTGTCGGAGAGAAACGACGACTCGGAGGTGCCCGTAGGACAGAACCACGGACGAGCAGAGAAGGCCGATGCAAAATTCCTCCCCAAACTCTGCGATCCTCTATACATCGTGAAGGTGTTGCCGGCCGACTAACGAGTGCTTACACGTGCAAGGAAACTGGAGCACCCGGAGAAAATCCAACGCGTGCGAGGGGGCAACGCTCTATCCCCATCGTTCAGATGGAACAGGTGGAGTGGAAATATTTGCTATACCGCCTTATCCCGGCGAGCCAGGGGCTATGACATCTCCGACGACGCACGGTGACAACTTTGTTTGAATGACCAGGAAGAGAGAGAGGGAGAGAGAGAAAAAAAGAGAAAACAGCTCGCGAATTTAAAATAAAAAAAACATCCACAGGGTTAGGTGTTACGACTTAAATAAAGTGATGAGTAACATTAGTCAGAATGTTAACAACACTTGCACGTTCAAAGCACAGCAACACCAACGTCGCGTTAGCGTCTGTTCCAAACCAAAGATTGAGTACGCTGATACGATGGCTTTTTGTATCAGCTGGGTGTATGTCCCCGACGTTAACACTTCCACATTAATGTCAGCGCCCAACCAAAGTTGTAACAACAGTGGACACCTAAGGGCTATCTGTCCATGGATCGTGATGATTATGACCCACCCAGAGACAGCCTGCACAACGGCGACCCTAGAAAAAGTTGAACCCGGACCGCGGAGGAAAGGTTCCAAACGCAATCGAGTGACCGGTACCTTGGGTTAAAGATGCCGACTCTGTTGGTTAAGGTGGCAGGCGGGTCGAACACCTTGGATGGGATGACTCTCAACACCTGACGGGGTCGGTGGCCAGAAGGAGCAGCTCGCTCGCCATCGGTGCCAAACCTCGGGTGACGAAGGTTGTGCCTCGCCCCTTCGTGTGTAGAGAGAGAACACGTGGCCAGCTATCATTACACACCCCCGACGCCACCGCCTTCCCCGTCACAGCCGCACCCAGTGCCACCTCCAACCACCCACCCTCCACCACCACCACTCACCCTCCACCACCACCACCCACCCTCCACCACCACCACCCACCCTCCACCACCACCACCCACCCTCCACCATCCACCCACCCTCCCTCACCATCCACCCACCCTCCACCACCACCACCCACCCACCCTCCACCACCACCACCCACCCTCCACCACCACCACCCACCCTCCACCACCACCACCCACCCTCCACCACCACCACCCACCCTCCACCATCATCCACCCACCCTCCTCCACCACCCACCCACCACCATCCACCCACCCTCCCTCACCATCCACCCACCCTCCCTCACCATCCACCTACCCTCCCTCACCATCCACCCACCCTCCCTCACCATCCACCCACCCACCCTCCACCATCCACCCACCCTCCCTCACCATCCACCCACCCTCCCTCACCATCCATCCACCCTCCCTCACCATCCATCCACCCTCCCTCACCATCCATCCACCCACCCTCCTCCTCCCCCACCCACCCACTCTCCTCCACCCACCCACCACCCTCCTCCTCCACCCACCCTCCTCCACCACCCACCCTCCTCCACCACCCACCCTCCTCCACCACCCACCACCCTCCACCCACCACCCTCCTCCACCACCCACCCTTCTCCACCACCCACCACCCTCCACCACCCACCATCCTCCTCCACCCACCCACCACCCACCTCCACTCACCACCCACCTCCACCACCCACCTCCACCACCCACCTCCACCACCCACCTCCACTCACCCTCCACCACCCACCACCCTCCACCACCCACCACCCTCCACCACCCTCCACCACCCTCCACCACCACCCACCCTCTTCCACCACCCACCCTCCACCACCCATCCACCTTCCACCACCAACCCTCCTACACCACCCACACTCCTCCACCCACCCACCCACTCTCCTCCACCACCTACCACCCTTCACCCACCACCCACCACCCTCCACCACCTACCACCCTTCACCCACCACCCTCCACCACCCACCTCCGCTCACCCTCCACCAACCACCACCCTCCACCACCCTCCTCCTCCACCACCCACCCTCTTCCACCACCCACCCTCTTCCACCACCCACCCTCCACCACCCACTCACTCTCCTCCACCACCCACCCTCCTCCACCCACCCACCCACCCTCCTCCACCACCTACCACCCTTCACCCACCACCCTCCACCACCCACCTCCGCTCACCCTCCACCACCCACCACCCTCCACCACCCACCCACCCTCGTCCTCCACGCTTGAACCCAGGTCAGTACAGTATTGCCAAATCCTCAAAGTGGAAAATTGCCCAAACAAAAGATCAAAGTTTCCGAAATATAAAAAAAAGTTTTGCCAAAAGTCACCGGGTGACTCTGGCACGGCGCTAGGCGGCGCGTTTCGTCGCTCGTTGCAAAAGGGGGTTCCCGGTTCGAATCGGCCAGGCCGCCCTGATTAATCAGAATATTTATTAAGACTGCAGGAGGAATCCGATGAGCACGGGGTAAGAACATTACAACAGTTACACAAACACGATAGGAGTGCAATGTAGCAGGTAAACAAACCACCCAAACGTAGAAATACAACTAAACCCCCCCCCCCCCATCCTAGCAGGCAGAAGCCACTGGTCACAAATGACAGCTCTAGTTTCGATGGCAAGGACGGGCACCCACAGCAAAGGGGCCCATCCATTTTTGATATATAAAGCACCCAAAGTAATGTAAATAATCTCAACGCTAGGGTGGGGGGGGAGGTGTAATCGTAGAATTCTACGTCCGGCTTACTCGAAACGAGGAGGCCACCGTGGGTCGGGGTCCCGGGTCCAAATGCGGCCAACATTCGAAACATTTGCACCTGCAAAATGACTCACTTGGGATTCGGCACGGCAACATCACAGCAAACTACTGCGGACTAGGATGTGAAAACAGGGCGTAGCTATTGCACAGTCGCATTTGGACAGACATCACAATGCAGGTTTGCATATCTCTCTCTGTCTCCCTCCACGTGGTAGCGTAGATTTTTCTCCGGGTGCTTCAGTTTCCCCCTCCACATTCAGAATCAACATCACGCGTTTAGAGAACGTGGCTGCTATAGATGTCCACGTGATGATGACGATGATGATCCCACTTCGTTGATTTGTCCTTTGTGATGGCCAGTTCCGCTCTGGAAAAAAAGAGCTACGTTGCTCAGCGTGCATTACCTGGTCAAATAATAATGGAGTTATTATTTTTTTAAGTTTCTATGCAGGCTTACATGGGGGAACACCGATTTGGTGCGGCGGGTACCACGCCGGGACACCTTGGTCTTCCCCAAAACACACGACCACCAGACGCTCGTTGAAAGGCCCAGTCAAGGCCCCGTGACCGCACCCGGTATCGCGTTAGCCGTGGTGCCGTGTAGCACGCTACCTCCGACTGGCACGGCTGGCCAAGCAACAAGTTGGACGTGCACCGGACGTACGACTCGCGCCTCGGGGATCGAAATCGTTCGGTTTGCGAAACAAAAATGTCAGACGAGCACAAAGCAGGAACATCATCAGTGATTAAAAAGGAGGCGTCTTTTATTTGCCGACGGTGTACACGCGCGAACCGGTCATCGCCAAATATTTGCGGACGCGCTTTTAAGACCGAGAACGCCGACCCGTCGCGGCGCCGACCACTGCACTGGTGTCAAGACTAATCGCACCGTCGTTGATTGACAAACTCATTTGCTTTACAACTGTTTTGTTATTGTTGTTGCTGTTTAGCTCGTTGTCCTTCGCCCGCAACCTCCGATGAGCACCGCTGGTTACGTACGGTGCGACAGACGTTCAACTTACATACGTGTTGAGGTGGTAGCTGCATGATGAGGACGCAGGGGGGGAGGGGGGTGGTGACGTTGATGGTGCGGCCGTCTGGAACGCCCTTCCGTCCGATATCATGAAGCCACTGGTAGGCTATGCACTTTGACGTCCAGACTGAAAAAAAACACGCGGAGCTCTGCGTGTCCAGTTCGCTGTCCTCCCCGCCGCAGACCGCGATGAGCGCGGTGCGCTACGTACGGCGGAGCGAAAGAACTTCAACACACGTCCACGGCGTCGCTGCGGCCAAAGGGACTCCTCCGCACCCCACCTCAAGGCCATCACAACGCGTGGACACGGGCGCAGCCCTTTCGAGTCGGCCCTCTCAAAGCAAGGCAGGCGTGGGTGCGCGCGAACGGAGGTGCGGGCACAACAAATTATTTGGCTGCAATGCCCACAACGACGTAGCCCCCCCCACCACCACCCCCCACCACCACCAGCAGCAGACTTCGGTGCCCTCCTATTATCCCGAGCGCGACCCCAGGCCCCTTCGACATCCGGCTTTAGGTTGCCCGAGATCGTCCCGACGGCATCGGCCGTGGCTTCAGCAGACGACGGCCACCACGACGCACGGCAACAGCCGGCTCTCAATCCACGCAATCCGATGGGCCCGTATCGGCGGAGGCGACGCGAACAACGGTTCTGGCGAACGGTGCAACGGGGGCCCCACCCCCCCGGGCCCCCCCCCCCAAAAAAAAATGTGACAAAAAATAAACCGGCGCTACACAGACGCGCCCCGCGCAATGGGAGCGCGACGGCTAAAACACGACGCGGCCCGCACTCCGACAACGCCGATCGCGTACACGAAAACAACGATGACCCCCCCCCCCCCCCCACCTCCCCAGTCACAATGCCCCGACCACGCGCCCACGCCGATCCTCGGTCCGCGGGCCCAGCGGACGGGGGCCGGAGCTGGAACGGGTGCCCGCGCATAGGCGAGGCGAAAATTGGGCCGTGCCGACTTGCTCGCGACCGCTAACCTCGGCAGCCCCGCTCACTTCTTGACGGTCACCGCGAGCGTACTGCAAAAGTCAGTTGCAAACGGTTGGTTGCGATTCGTTAGTTGTGATTACTGGCACACACAAAAAAAAGGTCACGGTACTCGGGACTGCAAATGTTGCAGTGGGTTTACTCTCCAACACACAGCCCGTGCGTCGCTGTATTCGTGGCCAATTGGCGAGCTCTGTTCACGTGACAAACCTTACCGATTGGCCGTGTCGGGCGGTGGCGGGTTTAACGACGTACTTGTATTTCCGCGATCTAACGCAAATAAAACCCTCTATTACGGATAACATTGGTCGCTAAAGCCCTACCACGCGTTACTCTTGTTGGCCACCCCATTGATTCTGGAACCACGAAAGCGACGCCACCTCCGGTAGTAACCGGCAAGCGGACGGATGCCTCACCACCACCACCCCCCCGCCTCCAGACTCTGATCTCTCGAGAAGGCCATTTCCCACGCGAGAGGCGGAAGGCGAACGCCGCAAACACCGCCTCTCGCGTACGGCAACAGCAGCAGCAACAAACAACAACAAACTTGGCAACGGGCGAACGGCTCCCGCGGGCCCGGTCGCCCGTGACCCAATCGGTGCGTGAACTGGAACAATATTCGTACGCCCATTTTCGTTTTAAAAAGCACCGGCGAACAAGTATGGTCCAGCAAAACCTTCCCTGGGCGACCCACGTGGGGAGACCCTTCACCCAGCAGCGAATTGACAAGGGCGCTATCTTGATTTGAAGCTTTCGTGACCGCAGGAATCCATACCCTTTGGGTCTCTGGTTAAGTCACGTGGGTAGAAAAATAATAAATTGCAGCCCCTCCCATCCCACCCCGGCCCCCTCCCCTCGGATTAGCCGACGCTTGCTAGCCTTCTGTTTGCTCGCCTTACATTTACTTAAATAATCCCTTGCTTGGAGCAGCCATCTCACCATTTGTCACCTGATGACGGACGCTTGCGTTGCGACCGAAACGTCGCGATCTAATATTTTTCTACCTAGGTGACGATTTAACCAGAAAGACTCAAAGGGTATGACAAGGGGCTGTTTATTATTATTGTTGTTGTTGGAAATCCACACTCAAGAGTGCAGAAAAGTTGTAACCTTTCACGGTTTAGTGACCCGATGAAGATATTTTGCCAAGCGTAAAAGAATTGACGACGACCAAGCGAGGCGTGGGGTTGAGAGGCTCTCACTCCTGCGGGTGGCCAAGGCGTCTTGGGGGGACGCCGCCCATACCGGAGCTCATTCCGTTTGACCCTTTCCCATTTCTTGGACGCAAATCGGCGCCGGACCGATGGCATTCGCCAAATCTGCGTTGGATACACCAAAAGGCCGTGAGACCACAACGCATCGTCCTCAACACGCGAGCCGATACGCCGCGGGTAACTCCAACCTGGGTGATATAAACACACCGCCGCGCTAGCTGAGATCTGGGTGACAAACACAGAGGAATGTGGGAACTTATACCGAGCGGCAGAGCCGGTGGGGGTGGGGGATGTGGTGTGGGTGGCCAATTGCTAACGAAATCGCGCGATCGTGACGACGGTGACGTAATTGCAACGCGATTGGGTCGCGGCGAGGAAAAATTGTGTGGTTTGAGCAGACGATGCTGCTGCAATCGGAACTACGTTGGAACCCGAGCCACCCCGGGTCCAGCCGACGTCTCAGTTGGACCCGCTCGCCGGCACGACGAGGGCTTGCATCACTCGGCTGCGGGCGCCGAGGGGCGTTTGTTGGGGGTGGCGTGGGGGGGGTTGTTGAAGGAGCCGCTCTGGAGAAACGCGCAAATCGCTGGAAGCAACACGCTTGGGTTGGGTGGGGCGAGCCGCAATTAGCGGCACGCGGCAGCTCGAAGCAGTGTCGCCCCTCCGCCCCCCACCCCGACTACCGCGTCCTAAACGAACGGCGCCAGATGCTTCCATGGGATGGGATGCTGCGAGTCCACCGCCCCCCTCCCCTCCCACTCGCCCCTCTGCTCCCCTCTCCCTGCCCGGCTGCGTTTGGACAGCGTGCAGTCACGCGCTCGCTTAGCGGGATTTGCCAAAGCAACGCGATGCAGCGGGACCCTAATAACAAGAGAGAATGCGAGACCCGGGGAGGCTTTTCTTGGTAGATCAACGACGCGTTTTTTTTTGTTCACGATAACAGGACCACCCCCGTCCACCCCACCCCCCACCCCCCTCCCGACTTCGGAGCGGATCACGTTAAATTTTAAAACCAGTCGGGCGAAGATCATGCAACAAACGAGTGTGGGTCACGCAACGCTTTCCAACGTGCTCCTCGTCTTCGAAACGAACTTGCGGATACACAGGCCAGGAGGGCAGCGGTCACGGGACAATTCATGAGCAAAGTTTAATTCCTATCCAAGCAGACCCCCCCCCCACCACCCTCCCACCACCCCCAGACCTACGGCAATTATAAAGCGTAGGACAAAAAAAAATATCCCAAATGACGTTTACAGCGACGTCACCCGGCCAAATCGACTCGCGCACGCACGACGCGTTGGAAGCGGGAGCAGTGAACCGGTGGAGCGGTGGGGGGCGAGGGGGTGCGGTGGAGGGGGTGCGGTGGAGGGGGTAGGGAAGGGGGGGGGTTGGAGCGCCAAAGCATGCTCACCGGCTCCCACAATGCCGCAGTGCTCGCGAGCGAACCGGGGCGACGCCGTGCCAGCCCTGCAAGGACGCGGTGCCAACCAGGGCTGCTCAATGGCGACCGCTGGCAGTCGTCACTGCCGCCCCCCGGAGACAGTTCCGCCGCCGTTTTATATTCGTGAATAATCGTTTTATTTTATTTTTATTGCGCCCAAACGCTGGCTGCGAATGTCATTTTTGGGGGGGTGGGGGGGGGGGTGGTGCTGGTGGACGACTGTGGGAATGGCGACTTCCAATCGGTTTACAAGAGGGGGAAGAATCTCTTCCGTACCCCCCCCCCCCCCCCCCCGAGGGTCGTTTTGCGACTTTTTAAATGCCTCCAGCAGCAGCAAAGGCGCGAGGAGTGTAACCGGGTCACTCGTGCGTCGCTGCAAGGGGCCCCCGGGAGCGACGCACGAGTGACCGAGGCGCGGCGCGAACGTCCGCAGCAACCGGGTCAAGGCGATTCTGCACTCGAAAGCCACCGAGTGCAAGACGGCCTTCGGTGGCGGATTATCTGCGTGCCGTTTGCAAGCGGTGGGCCCGACGCACCGCAACGTGGCCAAAAGCCGTGCCAATCGGGGGGGTGCGGGTGTGCGGGGGGGGAGGGGGGGGAGGAGGAAGGGCAAATCGGGAAGTGCGGGTGAAACAAAGCTACAAGCCGGACACACAGCCCGCGCGCTACACCGTGCAGGTTTCTCTCACCACCACACGAAATTCCACAAAACCCCCCGGATTTTGTTCGGCAGGACATGAACCCACCCCCCCCACTCCCATCGCTCTACGCCACCGCCTCGTACAGACGGCCGCACGACAATAATCGAATTTGCCGGTGATCCGCCGGCCGACGACCGACTGTCTAAAAAACCGCCCCACCTCGTCAGCTCCAGTCCTCCACCAACCCCCGCTCACCCCCCTGCCGCAGTGGTAAAATCAATCCGGTGAATGGTGCGCGCACACACGCACACACACACACACACGCACACACACACACACACACGCACACACGCACGCACGCACACACGCACACACACACGCACACACACGCCCGGGGATGGGTGGGTGGAGTAAAAGAGATACAAAAAAAATGGTCAAACGTGGGCTCGGTGGAGTGGGGTGGGGTGTCAAGGCCCAGAGGGCTCACGCCGGAGAGAGATTCAACACGGCTGCCACCACGGGGGGATTAACGAGCGTGCCGTCACGTGGCTCTCTCTCTCTCCGTCTCGCTCCGAAGCCTTCTTCCGGGTGGTGCCTCCCACATTCCCCCCTTCCCGTGGCCGGGGGAGGGGAGGGAGGGGAGGGAGGGGAGGAGGAGGAGGGAGGGGGATCTTTCTTCGGGAACTTCGGTTCCGGACATCCTGCTGGACGACGGCACGCGGCGCACGACCCGGCCAACGCGTGGCAGAGGGCCAGGCGGGGGCGGGCGCGAGTGGGGGGCTGGGGAGTTTAACGTGGAACCCTGAGATAGCGCGACCGTGCAGAGCCGACGAGGCCGGCGGCGGGCTGACGGCGGAGCGGCGGAGCGGCGGAGCTCAGTGCTTGCGCCGCTTGTGCGCCAGCTGCTCCTGCCCGTTGGTGTTCTCCAGGGGGGCGAGGGGCGGCTGCTGCGGGTACGCGTCGTAGGCGGCGCGGTTGGCAATGTCGTCGTCCTCCTCCTCCTCCTCCTCCTCGTCCTCCTCCTCGTCGTCCTCCTCCTCCTCCTCGTTCTCGTCGTCCTCGCCGTCGTCGTTGTTGACCTGGCCGCCGGCCCCGGCGCCGGCTCCGGCGCCGCCGCCGGCGCCGGAGCCGGCGCCGCCCCCGGCGTCGCCGCCGCGCTCGTACACGGCGATGCCCTGGTGGTTGATGACGACCGAGGGCAGCTCCTCATCCTCGTAGCGCTCGCTCGCTCCGCCTGTCAGGCGAGGCCGGAGGAGTGGGGGAGGGGCGAGCGCCGACAGCGTTAGGGCTCGAGTCGAGCAAACGGCAAAAACGTTACCGTGGCGGCGCGTGGCGACTGGCACGGGACCGCCGCGGCACTGGCGGGTGCCGGAGCGCTGAGCCGGCACCGCCGAGTTTCCCCGAGTTCGAATCCGGGTTCTGAGCGCCCAACCGTTAAGTGACCAGGCTCTCGCGTGCCGAGCGGGTCTCAGTCTGGTTGTCCACTACTCGCATAGCTCTACACGGAGAGCCATAGACTCACGGAGAGCCACGGACTCACAGAGACCCATAGACTCACAGAGAGCCACAGGCTCACAGAGAGCCACAGGCTCACAGAGACCGATAGACTCACAGAGAGCCACAGGCTCACAGAGAGCCACAGACTCACAGAGACCCACAGACTCACAGAGAACCATAGGCTCACAGAGACCCATAGGCTCACAGAGAGCCACAGACTCACAGAGACCGATAAGACTCACAGAGAGCCATAGGCTCAGAGACCCATAGACTCACAGAGCCACAGACTCACAGAGACCGATAAGACTCACAGAGAGCCATAGGCTCACAGAGAACCATAGGCTCACAGAGACCCATAGGCTCACAGAGAGCCATAGACTCACAGAGAACCATAGGCTCACAGAGAGCCACAGACTCACAGAGACCGATAAGACTCACAGAGACCCATAGGCTCAGAGACCCACAGACTCACAGAGACCGATAGACTCACAGAGACCCATAGACTCACAGAGAGCCATAGGCTCACAGAGCCCCACAGACTCACAGAGACCGATAGACTCACAGAGACCCATAGACTCACAGAGACCCATAGACTCGCAGAGAGCCATAGGCTCACAGAGAACCACAGACTCACAGAGACCGATAGACTCACAGAGAGCCATAGACTCACAGAGACCCATAGGCTCAGAGCGCCATAGGCTCACAGAGAGCCACAGACTCACAGAGAGCCACAGACTCACAGAGACCGATAAGACTCACAGAGAGCCACAGACTCACAGAGACCCATAGACTCACAGAGACCCATAGGCTCACAGAGACCCATAGGCTCACAGAGACCCATAGGCTCACAGAGACCCATAGGCTCACAGAGAGCCATAGGCTCACAGAGAGCCATAGGCTCACAGAGAGCCATAGGCTCACAGAGAGCCATAGGCTCACAGAGAGCCACAGACTCACAGAGAGCCATAGACTCACAGAGACCCATAGGCTCAGAGACCCATAGACTCACGTAAAATGGGCTGTGATTAAACCAGGTTGCCAAGTGTAATCACTTAGTGGTCTGAGCCCGATCACCGGTGACTGCACACAAAACCCATAACATTCAATTTGGTGATGTACTTAATTTGGCTACATTCCAACCCTCAGAATTAAACATGTTGGCGTTAAATTATAGCGAATTAAGTGCGTCTAATCATCCAGAGAATAAGATATATTGACGTCCATGTTTGATTTTGTGTGTACGCAGCAGCTGTTGGCTCCAGGTCATCTTTCCTCTCGTTAACCCAGGAAATACTCGCCGAGTCTCAACTCGCTTTCAGGAGGGTCCTGCCGCGTTTTAGCCGTCGGGGGGCAATGTTGCTACGTGTAATTACAATTGAGTAATTTGCAGGTAATGTTTAAGAATTGTGACGTTTGGGCAATACTGGTAACTTTTTATGCGCGATAATTTTTGTAGATACGGTAGGAAATCAGTTTGACACGTAGGCTTTCGAGACCATAGAGGTTTTTTAGGTTAGATCGTGTAAATAGAGGTTTTTTTTTAGGTTAGATCACGTAAATAAATATTTATGCGATGTAACCCAAACACCTCTTATCCATTATGGGTAGGAGACCACAAGCACCAAGGCACCCCGAGTCAGGAATAAAACCCAGGGCCTTATTTGCTGCGAGGCACGAGTGGAAATTACTGCACCACACTGCCGCCGAGATCGAGATGATCAAGTTTCTCAGTCTCGCGTGACACGCCAAGGTGGTTTACGCTCGTGGCTGGAATGCATGGGCAAAGTGCAAGACGAGGTGTGTAGAGCAACGCCATCAATCGACTAAAAACTCGCCAGGGTTTCGGTCACAATGCACGGGTGGAACCGCGCGTGTGAGAATCGACTCGTTATTTAAGCGATAATATGCCAACTCAACGAATGATCGCCGTACAATTCGCAATCTATGCAGCGACTAAATGCAAGGCGCTGTAACACCAAACTTTTGAAGAGTCCAATAAAAGAATCAACGCAAATGAACACGTCGTAAGCTTGATTCGTAACAATTTATCAGATTGCTGGCGGGATTGGAGTGAAAGGAGGAGAGCAGTGAATCATTACACGCCTCACGATAAAATATAAACTATTTTTATTTCACCAGGTAAGACCCCGATAGCTCAAAGTGGCTCATCACGTGGAAATTTATAGCAGCCAAATGCTCTGAACTGCGTGATCTTGATTCTAAACGTGGAGTGAAAACCGGAGGACCCGGAGAAAAATTCTCGCGAGCGCGGGGAGAGAGAGCCACGCAACGTCCAATTACAAAACAGGCGTCGTCAGGGTCTGTGGTTCGCACCCGTGACCTCCTGCGTACCAGGGCGAGGGAGTTAACGTCTCGCCGCCGCGAGACGTTAACCGATAATGCACCGGAACGGACTTTACGCGCCCGTCTGGCGCAGAGAAATTCCCCCACCGACGACGACGACGACGACGCCGAAGAAGAAGAAGAAGCCACTGCCGCCGCATTCCAGTTACTCGGCGAAATCCACCAGCGGCGTGTTACCTGACACTGGATAACGGGAGGCGCGAGCTGCCGACTGTTGCGCGCACCGCCGCCGCATCATCACGGTCGCCGTGCCTGTGCTGGAGCCGGCCTTGCGCTTGCTGCTGGCGCGGCCGTGCGTGCTGGCGCTCAGCGAGTTGAGGAAGGCCTCGGGGGAGGTGAGCCTCTGCACGGACAGAACCAGCTCCGTCAGCTGCTGCACCGTGCCCAGCGTGCGCCGGATATCCGCCTCGCTCGTTGCGCTAGCGCCCTGCAAGACGCAGCAGCAGCAGACGTGCACGCTCACCCCTCCCCCCGCACTTGTGCAGCTAGGCTTTGCTTTTTGCGTTTATTGTTGTCCTTCCCCCGCACCTCCCGACGAGCGCAGTTGGCCACGTACGGTGCGAAAGAAGTTCAACGTACATACATACATACGATTCTTTTCACCTCTCGCGCTCCAGGCGATCTCTTTTGCGAGCATGCTTGCACGGCCAGATGTGGAACAAACTAGCGCATGCGTGAATTAGGGACGGGCATTATATTTAAAAAATTTCAGATTTTGGAATCTTCTAAGGGAAATATTGGAGTTTGGGATCATTTACAAGTAATTTAACGAAGTCTCTGTGCCAACGAAAGCCAGGTTAGCCGATGCCACGTGACACCGCTGGACAGGATGAGCGCAGACGCGATGCCATGGTAGTGACGTTACCTCTCGTGATTTAATATTCAAATCGAAAATTAAGTTTTTCTCGTAATCAAAAATGTCCTCTATTTCGGCCAGCTTCTAATTTTTTCAGATTAACCTTCAAATCTCCCGGGAACACAACAATCGTGTCTGTGCCGTGCGTATGTATGAATATATATACACGACTATCTTACAAGATCGCGACTGCTAAAGTTCACGAGCAGGTGCACTGCTCTGCGAGGTATTGGAGCGGAGAATTCCGTCTCACGACATGATGCCAGTAGCGCAAGGATTCACACCTCCGATTACCACGGTTGGCTACGTGCGGTGCGAAAAAAGGTCAACATGCATACATGCAATGAGTAGAAAAAACACAACAGGAAAATTACAAAAAAACTACAACATTACAGAGCTATAAAACTAAACTTTTAGGAATAGGTTTTACCCCTTTTAACTGGCACGAAACTGACACCTTTATTCAAGGCATCATGTTTGCAATAACCACAACACAAGCAGTCAAAATGCAAATAAAAAAGACAACTCTAATAATATGTGTTTTTTGCTTGCATTTTGACTGCTTGTGTTGTGATTATTGCAAACATGATGCCTTGAATAAAGGTGTCAGTTTTTGTGCCAGTTAAAAGGGTAAAACCTATTCCTATATCTTGTTACCGACAAAGGAGGTCTCATAAACTAAACTTTATTTTACCAAGGTAAGGCCCATTGAGCTATGTAGCTCCTTTTCAGAAGCGACCTGGCAATCACAAGTGACAACTCAACAAAGTGGCTCACCACGTGGACATGTACAGCAGCGGCCAAATTCTCTAAACACAAGTTGATTCTAAATGCAGAGGGGGGGGGGGGGGGGAAAAACCAGAGGATCCGGAGCAAAATCTACGTGACAACGGGGAGCGAGAGAGACATGCAAACTCCAAATATACAGCGTCGGGATCAAACCCACGACCTCCTGTATACCAGGCGAGGGAATCAACGTCCCCCTAGCCAGCGCGGCGCCCTGCAAGCTATGCACGGGGGGAGGGGGGGCGGGGGGGGGGGGACGAGGCTCGCCAACACACCGACGACACCGCCGCCGCTCCGTACCCTCGCGGCCGGGTGCGGCTGGCGCCGCGGTGGCACTCCGTTGACGACGCGGCGGAAGATGGCGTAGTGCGCGAAGGGCAGGCGCTCCTTGGCCACGGCGAGCAGCTCGGAGCGCACCTCGGCGTCCTCGGTGCACGCCAGCAGGCAGTCGTAGTCGGCGATTCCCAGGTCCGTGGCGAGGGTGCGCGCCAGGCCGGGCTTGACGCCCTGCGCGCCCAGCCAGCCCGTGAAGTCTCCGCGCGGGTCCACGTCCACCGCAGGTGGCAGCTCCTCTTCCGACGCCGCCGCCGCCATGGCTTGTTGCCGTGGTGTCGCTGTAGCAGAGGGGTCGATGGAGTCAGCCGGCCGAGTCGCGCAGTGTGTCCGCGATCACCCAAGCGCCCGCCGCTCGGTTTGAAACCGTGAAGGTTTGTGTCGATGTGAGCTTTGGGTGGGGGATTGGTGGTTAGCACACTGCACCGTGATAATTAACTTATCTTAAGCGGAATTCATAGAGCGCCTTAAATAAGGCGCCTCGCAAATAATTAACAACAGCACAACGTATGAATGCAAAGGTGGAGGAGATGAGATGAAATAGATGCGAGGAAGCGTGATGAGTGCACATCTGTGGCGATGCGTCAATTCAGTGAAAGCGAAATTGATGACAGTAAATGATGATGATGATGAACGGATTTAATGAATGGGGTTAATGAGTGATAGCCACGCAATGGCAATATGAAGGGGGAACAGTGACGGTGGAGGTTACGAGGTGGAGACTAAGGGGTCGTCGAGTGAGCTCGGGGAAAAAGAAGCGAGTCTTGAGCGAGCAGCGTAAACTAGCGAGCGGAGGCGACTGCTTAACGTGGAGGGGAAATTTGTTCCGACGAAAGGGCCACCACTCCGTTCGATTCCCAGCCACGGTCAGCATCGCTTGGCGAGTTGTTGTTTTTTTTTTATCATAAGCGGACGTGCACTTCCTTCATCAAACCAGTGATAGCAAGGTCAAGTAGAGTACGGGCAAGGCGCCTACGTGTTCAGTTCCTGGGGCCAGTTCGTAAGTCGAACGCAAGTCGGAACACAATCATGTACGGTATTTAAATGCACATACGGTCAGTGTTTTAAAAAGTGGTTTACCGATCGACAAAGGCAAGCACTGTTACACGCGTAAGAAGAAACGCTGTACGCATCTGCATGCGACGCTGTAAACAGTGGGCTCGCAAATCAGACGGTTAAAAAAAATAAAAAAACCTCATGGTAAACTCGTTCGTCAGTGCGAATATTCGCAAGTCGTGCGTTCGTAAGCCGGGGAGGGGGGGGGGTGCTATATTATCAAATAACCCCCCAGGACGGGCACGGCGTACGAAGGCCTGGATCCAAACGTGCTGAAACTAACTGGACAGCCTTGATGCTTGCAAGCACCGCTGTGGAACTTGGTGGCAATCCGCTTGTGAATGGATGTAGCCTGGGGGAAAATCGAACTTTCTCCCGCATGTCGACACTTCGATGCGGATTCTCTCTGCGTCAAAGCCGACGGCCAAATCAGAAGTCAAAGCGGAGGGCCAAATCAGAAGTCAAAGCGGAGGACCAAATCAGAAGTCAAAGCGGAGGGCCCATTCCTCCCCAACGCCTTATATGCAACAAGGGTCTTGGTACAGCTCTCCAACGGTGCTTTGAAATCACGTCAACTTTGTTAATGAAAACCAACGTCGTCTCTCAACAGTCTACCGCTCTACTCCACGACTTTGCGCGTCCGTGGGCTATTGTTTGTGTTACCACATTGCCCCGACAAACGCGCGGTAATAGAAGTACCGTACAACGCAGTGGGTAGTATTGTGCCCTACAGTACTTCCCACCGCAGCCCACACGGAGGCCGTACATCCAAACACAGCTTTCGTGTTTTTTTTCTCTCGTAGATCTGTGCGCGTTCCGCAGACCTAACCAACACCGTACTCGTTGGTTCTTTCGGGTAAAGTCACGTCAGAATCTGGATTTGAAGTCACGGAAACTTCAAATCTAGATGCTAACCAACACCGCTTTCGCGCTTTAAGATGCTCATTAATTAGTTTTTGTTCGTGTGTCCACCGCACATTCGGCGTGACTTGTACGCATAGCGAGGCGGGCCCCCGTCTCCGCTAAGGTTACCGATTTATATTTGCGATGGTTAAACCCAAGGAAAGCCTCAACTGGAGTCTGGGAGACTTTCCACCCCACACCACCACCACCACCTCTCTCTTTTTCCAGGTGGATTCCTGCCAAAAAATGTCGAAGTACGTTTTGGGGGGGTGGAGGGGGAACGATGATCGCCACTGCTGCTGCTATCAAAGATATTCGTCATCACCGCCACCACCGTCGATTTTGCTCGATATAAATAATCTTTCAAATAATCACGCTGATGATAATCACGCCGATGATCGACGGATCGATACATCGCTAAACAATGCACAGGTTTTTTTTTACAGCTTTTACATAATCATCGGTATGATTACCATCACAATTATTATATGAACGCTATCATCGTGCTGATAGCTTTCATAACATCTTTCATATTATCAGCATGATGATTTTAATCGACGGATCGATACATCGCTACACAATGCACAGCGTTTACAGCTTTTATATAATCACAATCATCCGTGTTTGTGGCTATGGCATTGTTGCGTCGGTACACGTTGTAGTGTCTGTTTATAGCTTTTAATATACTCGTCACGCTGATGATAGCGTCCATAAAATCACGAGCATGCTGATGATTATATGGAAGCTATCATCATGCTGATGATTATATATCAGCATGTTATGGAAGCGATCATCATGCTTTTGATTATATGGAAGCTATCAACATGCTGATGATTATATATCAGCATGTTATGGAAGCTATCATCATAATATGGAAGCTATCATCAGCGTGACGAGTACATAGCAGCTTCAATGTAGTCATCAGCATGATGATTATATTGAAGCTATCATCATGGCCATTATTATATTGAAGCTATCATCATGCTCATTATTATATGGAAGCTATCGTCAGAGTGACGAGTACATAGCTTCAATGTAGTCATCAGCATGATGATTATATTGAAGCTATCATCATGCCGATGATGAACATGTAAGCCATCGTCAGAGTGACGAGTACATAGCTTCAATGTAGTCATCAGCATGATGATTATATTGAAGCTATCATCATGCTCACTATTATATGGAAGCTATCATCATGCCGATGATGAACATGTAAGCCATCGTCAGCGTGACGATTTTTCTAAAAGCGATTTAGAGAGACCGTTCAACGACGCAGCGCCCGCCCGCCCGCCCCACAAACACCGAGGCGGCGGCGACGTCGTCCGGCTGCTCGCGAGGTTCTAAGTCGCCGTGCTCTGCAAACTACATCGGCCGCACGAAAGACGAAGAAACAGCGGCAGCAGCAGAAGGCCTCCTCCTCCTCCTTCTTCCCCCTCACGGATAAGCGGTCGCCATTCTTCGCTATTTGCCGCGCGCTCGCAATGATTCCCCTCACAACCAGCGCCGTCAACCAACTCCCGTTCGCCTCATCCCCCCCTTCCCTTCCTAAGCGAAGCAACGAGGGGGTTCGAGTCGAGGTACCGGCGGAGGTTGAGTCGCGGCGGTGGAGGGGTTGGGGGGGGGGTTGAGAGTTGAATTTTAAACCAGCGAGGAGGGCGAGGGCGGCCGCCTGGCAGCGAGCGACCGCGGTTACCTGCGAGAAGCCTTCGCCTCGCCTGACTCGCGCGATATGGCGCCAGAGACGGCGCCGCCGATTGGTTGGCAAAACTCCTCTCCCCCCCCCCATCAACCCCCTCCCTTATCCCTCCATCAACCCCCTCCCCCCCATCAACACCCTCCCATCAACCCCCTCCCTAACCCTCCAACCAAGCCCACCAATCCCCCCTCAACCCCCAACCCCCCAACCCCCCCCAACCCCCCCCAACCCCCCTCAACCCCCAACCCCCCCAACCCCCCTCAACCCCCAACCCCCCTCAACCCCCCCAACCCCCCTCAACCCCCATCCCCCACCAAACCCCCCAACCCCACCACCATCAACTACCCAACCCCACCAAATCGGCGATCATCGAAAGGCGGCGTCACCCCATTGGTTGAACGTGGAGAGGCACATCGGCAATGAAAGACGCTTTCCGATTGGTTGATAGGTCGACATGAGGGGGAGGGGGAGACGGGTAGCAACGACGATGAACCGACGACGCTGATTGGCGCTGAACATCAGCGTACGTTTGAAAGGCCATCGCTGATTGGTCGTCATATATTTGTACGTGATATAAAGAAGGGTCTTTTCCCGAAACGTCGTCTGTGATATTTATATTATTTCATTTTAAGTGAAACACGCGCGGTGTTGTTGTTGTTTGTCCATGTGCGTCAATGCCAACGCCATGGAAAACCGGTCCGTAGTGGCCACGCTACCCCACGTCGCTGCGGTAATCCAGCAGCGTAGAGGCGGCAGCAACAGCAGCGAGGGTTGGTGGACCACACGCGGATTCTTTTGTGAAACTCCCTCTGGGTGTCGAGGAGGTTGGTGCCCATACCCCTGGCTCGCCACGGGATGGCGCTATTGTTCTTTAGTTCTTTCGGTAAATACTATTTGTATCTTAGCTCTTTCGGTAAAGTCACGTTGAAGGGAAACAATAAAATAATATATATAACAATAAAAAAATTCTCACGACGTTTCGACCATAACACAAACGGTCATCATCAGGTGTGAAAACCAACGGCAAGAAACATTTGAAAGAAGTGGCGGTTTGCTTTTATTTATTTTTAAAACGGTGTATTATTTATTTAAAAAAAACGTTAGCGCCACGGAGAGCGATTTGACAGTTTGTTCAGATGGACGAGTCCATCTATATTCTTAGTTTTTTCGGTAAAGTCACGTTGAAGAGAAACAACAAAATAACAAAATATATATAAAACAATAAAAAATTCTCACGACGTTTCGACCATAACTCAAATGGTCATCATCAGGTGTGTTGGTTTGCATAAATTTATTTTTAAACGGTACTTTTATTTATTTATAAAAAAAACGTTGGCGTCACGCGCAGCGATTGGCAGTTTGCCCAGGACTAGTCCATCTATTTTTTTTTTAAAAGAGGAGGGGGGAGACGAAATTTTTTATAATGTATGCTGTCTGAAAGCCACTGTAAGCGTGAAAAATCAATCAAGAACTGAAATGATTTATCAAATCTTTCCAATGATTGCTAAGATAAAATCCATCTTCTCGGTTGAAATTGTCTCTGTGCTTGTATATGTGGATAGCCTCATGAACGAATCTCTCATGGAAGCCAGATGGCTTACAAAGAACCTCCGTCTTGGAAAAGTCAATGGCATGTGAGCCTACTGAATTAGAACAATGATCTGCTACGGCCGAGGTGTTGGTCCTACCGTGTTTAAGGTCTGCTTTATGTTCACGAATGCGGTCCGAGACATGGCGTTTGGTTTCTCCAATGTAACTACTACCACAGAGGCAACTTAGTTTGTAGACACCAGGGTATTGTATGTCCGGAATCACATCTTTTACAGACAGAACCAGATCACGGATTTTATGTAATGTGTTGAAACGGACCTGGATCTTGTGTTTATTCAAGATTTTGGAAATCTTTTTTGTGATCCCAGCAATGTAGGGTAAAGTGATGGTTTTGAAAGGCTCCTCAAGAGGGTTCTTCTTCATGGTTTGAGTGATAGCTTTGCGGATTGTATAGTCGGAGTAACCATTAGCCCTAAGAGCTTGGTGTACGTGCTTGAGTTCACTGCTTATGTGTTCCTGGTCGGATATGCATTGGGCTCTATGATACAGAGTCTTGATGAGAGAATTCTTCTGTGATGGATGGTGGTGGGAATCCGGTTTCAGATAAGCATCCGTATGGGTAGCTTTCCTGTAGACAGAGTGGCTCATTGAACCATCAGGTCTCTTTTTAATTAGGACATCCAAAAAAGGTATCTTGCCATCTATTTCGACTTCCATGGTAAATCTGATGGCTGGGTGTATGGAATTGATGTGGTCGAAGAATTGGTCTAGAGCAGGCCGGCCATGTGGCCAGATGACAAAAGTGTCATCCACGTACCTCTTCCATAAGGTTGGGCGCAGAGTGGCAGTCTGGATGGCGTCAGTCTCAAATTTCTCCATGAAAATGTTAGCTATAACTGGAGAAAGGGGGGAGCCCATTGGGGTGCCCTCAGTTTGTTTGTAGAAAGTTCCATTCCAAGTGAAGTATGTATTGGTTAAACAGTGTCTCACCAGGGGGGGTACCTCAGTGTTTAGTCCTTGATGAACCAAGTCTTCAATTATTACCGAAAAAACTAAGAATATGAATTACTGCAGTCACGAAAGCTTTAAATCAAAATTTAATCGCCTCTACGGGGAGGGTTTTCACATAACTTTAAGATCTTTCAACAAACTCCGGGATAAGAAAGCTCAGCTGATCGAGTCTCTCACCTTCCTGAAGAGATGCCGCGACTCTGGGGTAATACCAATCGCATTTACACTGACCTCTGCTGCTGTAACTTCTTCTAATGCGAAACGAATTCTTTTCAAAACTAGCTTAGCTCTTATCTCAGAAAAAATCAGACTTATACGCACAGAACTAGATCAGTTAGACAAGACACTCTACAAATCACACTTATCATTGACGGCAATAATGTCCACATCGGATTGGGAACATGTAGACAATATGACTGCCTCTTCAGCTGCTACTATGTCGACCAAATGTAAGGAAAACCTGATTTCCAAATTTAACCTCCTCTTCAACAAAAGACCGGACCCACACACCAAAAAGTTAGACGTTAATAAAGTCGTAATTAATCGCAGTAACAGTTCTATTTCCGATGGTCTGAAATCCGTTTTAGCTAAAGGTCTAAACTTTGCAGTCACACCTAAACACATACCAGTTAATGATATAATTGCCCAAGTAGACGTTGCTCTCAGGGGCCTGGGTCACATCGCTGCAGACGTAGCAAGATCTGAAATCGCTGCAACCCTCAAAAACGCTAAGATGCCAGCTAGCAACCTCAGCAAAGATGAGCGTTTTGAATTATATAAATTAAAAAAGAGGAATGATATTGTAGTTCTCTCAGCTGACAAAGGCAATGCTACTGTCATCATGGATAAAATAGAATACAACAACAAAATTAAAGAATTACTCGACGATGGTAGTTATACAAAAATAAAAAGAGATCCCACCAACAGCCTCGTCACACAAACCAACAAAATAATTTCTGATTCAACCGCATTAATTGATCAATCTAAACAGTTTTCGTTGAAACCTTCTGCTGCCAGGCCACCAAGATTATACGGCTTACCAAAAATACATAAAGTTGATAAACCTCTTCGTCCCATAGTCTCTACTATCAGCTCCCCCACCTACAAACTAGCTCGTTTTTTGTCTGAAATCCTGCGTCCTTTCACTGGAAAAACCACCTCTGCGGTACAAAATTCTACTCACCTGGTATCAACAATCAAGGGTATTTCCCTGTCCCCAGACGACCTGCTTGTCAGTTTTGATGTAGTTTCCTTATTCACCAAGGTTCCTGTACCTGACACCATTGCAATAATTGAAGACTTGGTTCATCAAGGACTAAACACTGAGGTACCCCCCCTGGTGAGACACTATTTAACCAATACATACTTCACTTGGAATGGAACTTTCTACAAACAAACTGAGGGCACCCCAATGGGCTCCCCCCTTTCTCCAGTTATAGCTAACATTTTCATGGAGAAATTTGAGACTGACGCCATCCAGACTGCCACTCTGCGCCCAACCTTATGGAAGAGGTACGTGGATGACACTTTTGTCATCTGGCCACATGGCCGGCCTGCTCTAGACCAATTCTTCGACCACATCAATTCCATACACCCAGCCATCAGATTTACCATGGAAGTCGAAATAGATGGCAAGATACCTTTTTTGGATGTCCTAATTAAAAAGAGACCTGATGGTTCAATGAGCCACTCTGTCTACAGGAAAGCTACCCATACGGATGCTTATCTGAAACCGGATTCCCACCACCATCCATCACAGAAGAATTCTCTCATCAAGACTCTGTATCATAGAGCCCAATGCATATCCGACCAGGAACACATAAGCAGTGAACTCAAGCACGTACACCAAGCTCTTAGGGCTAATGGTTACTCCGACTATACAATCCGCAAAGCTATCACTCAAACCATGAAGAAGAACCCTCTTGAGGAGCCTTTCAAAACCATCACTTTACCCTACATTGCTGGGATCACAAAAAATATTTCCAAAATCTTGAATAAACACAAGATCCAGGTCCGTTTCAACACATTACATAAAATCCGTGATCTGGTTCCGTCTGTAAAAGATGTGATTCCGGACATACAATACCCTGGTGTCTACAAACTAAGTTGCCTCTGTGGTAGTAGTTACATTGGAGAAACCAAACGCCATGTCTCGGACCGCATTCGTGAACATAAAGCAGACCTTAAACACGGTAGGACCAACACCTCGGCCGTAGCAGATCATTGTTCTAATTCAGTAGGCTCACATGCCATTGACTTTTCCAAGACGGAGGTTCTTTGTAAGCCATCTGGCTTCCATGAGAGATTCGTTCATGAGGCTATCCACATATACAAGCACAGAGACAATTTCAACTGAGAAGATGGATTCTATCTTAGCAATCATTGGAAAGATTTGATAAATCATTTCAGTTCTTGATTGATTTTTCACGCTTACAGTGGCTTTCAGACAGCATACATTATAAAAAATTTCGTCTCCCCCCTCCTCTTTTAAAAAAAAATAGATGGACTAGTCCTGGGCAAACTGCCAATCGCTGCGCGTGACGCCAACGTTTTTTTTATAAATAAATAAAAGTACCGTTTAAAAATACATTTATGCAAACCAACACACCTGATGATGACCGTTTGAGTTATGGTCGAAACGTCGTGAGAATTTTTTTATTGTTTTATATATATTTTGTTATTTTGTTGTTTCTCTTCAACGTGACTTTACCGAAAAAACTAAGAATATGAATTACTGCAGTCACGAAAGCTTTAAATCAAGAGTCCATCTATGTTCGGAAAAGAGGAGGGGGGAGACGAAAAATAATTGATGCGGTCTGAAAGCCACCGTAAGCGTGATCAATCAATTAAGACCCGAAATGGTTTATCAAATCCTTCCAACGATTGCTAAGCCAGAATCCATCTCCTCGATTGAAATTGTCTCTGTGTTTGTATATGTGGATAGCCTCAGATGGCTTGCAAAGAACCTCTGTCTTGGAGAAGTCAATGTCACGTGAGCCTACTGAATTAAAACAGTGATCTGCCACGGCCGAGGTGTTGGTCCTACCGTGTTTCAGGTCTGCTTTGTGTTCACCGCATTCGTTTTTCACCTTTTCTTGTTTAATTGTATGTCAAGGCAGAGATTACGGATGAATAAAGTAACAACCATTACCACAATCATACAAACAGAAATCTATTTTATAGCGATATATTGGGGGGGGGGCATTTTGAGCATATTTGAATATTGGGGGGGATATTATAATTACGGCCTTGATATCCATAAAAAAAAACAAAAAGTATGGATATCCATAAATTTGCATTTAATTTGTCGCAAGAGTCGAAACGCAGTAAACCAAAGCTCTACCGGATCGCTAACATGACGTCATGCAATGCGTGACGTCAAACGTCCGGGAACCAATTAAGTTCCCGCCCCCCTCCCACAATCCTGCGCGCGGCTGCCCGGGGGCAGCAGCAACAGCGGCGGCGGCGGCGACAGGGAGGAGCCGGCGCCATTAGAGGCGCGTTCCCTGCCCGGGCTTTGCCTCACTCGCCCACGACTCTCACCGAGGAAGAATCCGCTCTCGCGGGGCGCCATCCGCACCGCCACCATGGTGAGAGACGACTCTTCGCATCGCCGCCGTTGTGCGCTGCCGTTCGGCGCTCTTATTTCGCGGCAGCGATTTGCCTCGCCTTTCCCCGCGGACAGAAGGCGATAATAGCACGAAACTGGGCCTAGCGTCCCGGGCTTAGTGAATGCGACCGCGACTTAAAATGATGCGGCGATCCGTGTCGCGCGGTTTTCCCCATTTTCTTATGTTGAAACATTTTAAACAACTTGCGTCTATCTGCGCGTTGCACAAGTTATACCGTTTCCATTTTTTAAAACACCGCGGGTTTTTTTTTGTTTAAACTGTCGTTGGCTCGTATTGCTTGGGCCTAATTCAGGCCTGTTAAGCGATTCCTCCCCAATGAATGGGGGGGGGGGGGCACCGTTGTGTTGAAAGTTTTATTGAAATGGATCAATTCGGACAGGGTTTAGCGCTTGAACGCTGCCTTTTTAACGTCGTCAATGAAGAACTAGGCGTCGTAAAATGGCTTTGGAACGTTTAGGGCGATGGCGCTTGTACAAAGCGCGTGATGGCGCCAATTTTCTCTTTTTGTTAAAAAAAATCCTCGACCTCGTTTTAGAACAACGGTGCCTGCAGCCGCCGCTTACCGCCTTTGTCAATTCACTGATAAATTCTAGTTTTAAAGCTTTCGAGAAGTCACGTAGGTAAAAAATAAAACAACAAAAATCACGACGTTTCGGCCACAACACAAGCGGCCTTCATCAGGTGAAGGCAATCAGGCTGTCTCGAGGACAGCGCTGGAGTGAAACACAACCACGCTCAGCCCGCGGACCTTTAAGCTGTGTGCGAGCAAACAAGGTGCCTTGACAAAGGAATTAGCATAAAAAATAACATTTGATTGGCCGACTTTAGAAAAGAGGTGGGGGGAGTTTACCTATTGATGGTGTGAAAAGGGAATTTATAAGAGCTGCGAAAGTTTGGGGTACCACTACTTGAACAAAATATACTGTACCATTGAAAATTAGTTTAATGTTGATAAATCCTCACCGCCACCACCACGAGGGATGGTGAAGCAGAACGGTGCAATGAAGAATTGGTGCTGCTGCTCCCCACCACCACCACCCCCAGCAATTTAAACGACGTGGCCTAAAACGGCGTTGATCACCCATCGGAGCGTTATGGAGGCTCAAAAAAAATCCTGCTTCGCTACGATCAGGCGACGTAGTAGTGTAGGAGAGCATGCGAAGCTATCTGAATACGGCGTGGATAAGTGTGCCGCATTAATTAGTGCTGGAGACGAGGTAAAAAAAAACCCATGTCGATTGATTACGATGTCGATTGATTACGATGTCGATTGATTACGATGTCGATTGATTACGATGTCGATTGATTACGATGTCGATTGATTACGATGTCGATTGATTACGATGTCGATTGATTACGATGTCGTGTACCGTCTTCGACTTTTACCGCTGCGCGCGCAAACTATTGTTCTGTAAAAAAAAGGCGCAAACTAATCTGTAACAATTTTTTTTTTAAATATATCTATTTTTAATGTTAGAATATTGTATTGTCATCCATGTGACATAAGTATACCACGTTTCAATACCAAGTTGTGCAGTCGATAGCACATTGAGAAGTGGGTTAAAATAGAGTTACAGGATTTGAGGATACAACAACAGAGTGAGTTAAATAAAAGCGTGTTAAAAGGGGACCTTTTTTTGCCAGTACCAAGGTATGAAAAAATAAGACTAGTTTTTTACACCTTTCTGGCAATAAAACAGGTGTTAAGATGGTCAAACGCCAAATAGAAGGATGCACTGACAATATATGCATTGTCTTTTTAAACTGATTTTCATACTTTGATACTGGCAACAAAATGCCCGTTTTGTAGCTGCTCACGGCCGAGCTGTAAATGCTCTGACACGTGCATTCTCTTTGTGTTGTTCGCCTCGTGGTGTTCTTGTGGTCTGACACTGGTGAGAGTAGGTCATAGAGAAGACTGTCTCTGGTGTAGGCCAATCGGTTTCAAAAACAATGTGCTACTGCATAGTTAATTATCAGAGCATGTTTGTTTGCATGTTCACCACAAGTTTTGTGTGTGTGGTTAATGCAGACGTGATTCATTGCAAAATGGTTTCTATTTGGCGTTTGAACGCCTTAACACCAGTTTGACTGCCATGAAGGGTCAAACCTATTGTTATTCTGTTATCTCTACGTTTGATTTCGAGGCGCGTTGCTTGCTAATGCATCGCCTT